GCTGACCACACACACACACACACACAAATAAAATTAAATAAATAAATAAAAATAAAATTTTTACTTCTACCAATTTTATATGCTAATATCTGTTATCTGAGCACTGAAGACAGCAGTGTGTAATCTAACAATCACTGTTGAGTAGCTTTCACATTGTTTTTTTAAAAAAAATCCATATTGTTTCTAATGTCTTATTGAAAGGAAGAGTTGATGCTTCACTGTTTGCTTGGTCTTACACGCCTATATCTGGTAATCAGAGCAACAAATTTGATGATATAAATGTGTAGTGTAACAGCCATTGTTAATTTTCTATTCCTGTTTTGAAATACCATACCATTTTTATTTTATGTTGCTTTGTTTTTGTCTTTGTTCTTGTTATTTGGGGTTTTTTTTCCCCTCTTTAAAATTTTTTTAAGAAATGGGTGTGGTGGTGCGGGCGCCTGTAATCCCAGTGCTTGGGAAGTTGAAAACAGAGGCTCTCTACAAGTCTGATCTGTGTAGCAAGACCCTGTACTAAGTATATTTTTTAAAAAAATCTACTCCTTGACAATTTGCATGCTGGGAAAATTCTCTTGACCAAGTAATGCTATCAAACACTTAACAAATTTTATTTTGGTTTAACTAAAATATTTTAACAAAATACCGTGAATTTACCACATCCACTTTACAGTTTTTTCAGAATAAGTGCTTGCCTGGCAAGCTCAGGGTCCTGAGTTCAATCCCCGGTACCGCAAAAAAAAAAAAAAAAAAAAAACACAAGAAGCCAGGTGTTGTGGTGGTGCGCGCCTGTGATCCCGGCACTCGGTGAGACTGAGGCAGGAGTGCTGCTACTATTAACCCAGCCCAGGCAATTGAGTGACTTAGTTAAACCCTGTCTCTAAATCAAAAATAAAAAATGGCTGTAAATGTAGCTCAGTGTGGAGGCCTGGCTTCAATCTAGAGTACCGGAAAAGCAAATAACAACAACAATACTGAGTAGGTGTCATGACACACAATGGCTGGGATAGGAGGAGGGCAAGTTCTTGGTCACCCAGGGAAATGCACTAAGACCCTGTTTAAAAAAAAAAAAAAAAAAAGAGCTGGGGAGATAGTTCAGTGGAATAAGCACTTGTCTGCCAAGCACAAGGACCTGAGTTCAATCCCCAATTCTGCCAAAAAAAAAATCATAGACTCCTATAATAGGGACCCGTGTACAGAGAGACTTCTCTGTCAGGCCTGGGGGGGCTTGGAAGGTTACTAGTTAGAATCCCAAGCTGTTATCCCCAAAGGTTGAGGGAGATGGGGTGGCAACGAGAGCATGGCAGGCAGATTCTACCTGACTGAAGGAAACCAGTGTCTCCCACGCGGAAAGGCTCAAGAAGAAATACCTGGGGCAAGCAGACATCACTTATTGTGAATCAAACCACACACTCCCTCATCCACCCCAGACCCTCTACCTGCTGCCCTGGAGTCTAGCTGCAGGGAAAAGGAATATTTGGGGATCTGACTTTTAATTTCTCATGGTAACTGTCCACATCATCTCATTACACATCTTAGATTTTTCGCTCAACTCATGAAAGGGGTAAGTCATCGAAGCTCTTTGAAGCTACCGGAAATTATTTATGATGTGTAGATGCTTAACAGATGATGCACTGTCATGCTGTCATCATGTTGTTCACAGCTGAAACTCTCCTTGTGGAAGGAAGAAAGGAGGAAGCTGAGTGAGCTCCCCACGATGGAACAGGAAAGAAAAGGAAAGAAGCCAGATTTCCCTCAGCGAGACGATGAGTGAATAACGTTGGTCCCTCCACAGTGTAGGCAGTGAAAACCAGACCAGACAGCTGCCAAAAAGGAGGAATCGGTCAGGCTCACTGGCGCACATCTGAAATCCCACCATCGGAAGGGGGCTGAGGTAGGTAGGAGGATCCCAAGTTCAAGCCCAGAAGGGTAACTCAGAGACTTAGCAAGATTCTGTATGAAAATGTTAAAAAAAAAAAAAAAAAAAAGACTGAGGATGTAGCACAGGCCTTGAGTTCAATCTCTAGTACTGGGAGAAAGAAGTGGGGGGAGAGGCAGGAAAGGAGGAAGGGGAGGGAAAGGGGGAGGGGAGGGGGAGAGAGAGAGGGGGGAAGGAGGAGGGAAGGGAGGGCCAAGTTTAGAGGATTTTGGTAAGATATGGAGAAGTAGAGCAAATGCAGAGAGCTAAAAGATACTACCCTTTATGTTGTAGCAACTGCTGGAGCTTGAGTCCTCTGGACAGAGACTCTGGTGTGGGTTTTCACAAGATGGTCGGTGAATTCCTGATAGGGAGACTCAATGAACACAGTCTCTTTCCAGAGGTCAGGGGTCAGATAGCTGTAGGTCTTGGAGATGGCATCAAAGGTGGCCTTAGCAAAGTTGCCCAAAGTAGCAGTGCAGCCCCTAGCAGAGGTGTAGCAGTCATCAATACCAGCCATCAGCAGCAGCTTCTTGGGCACAGGGGCTGAGACAATGCCAGTGCCTCTGGGGGCACGGATCAGACGCACCAACACAGAGCCACAGCGGCCCGTCACCTTGCAAGGAACAGTGTGGGGCTTGCCGATCTTCTTTCCCCAGTAGCCTCTCCTGACAGGGACAATGGAGAGCTTGGCCAGGATAATGGCCCCATGAATGGCAGTGGCTACTTCCTTGGAACAATTTACACCCTGGCCAACATGACCGTTGTAGTCCCCAGTGGCAACAAATGCCTTGAACCTGGTCCGCTGGCCAGCACGAGTTTGCTTCTGCACAGGCATGATCTTCAGACCTTCATTCTTGAGGGATGTGCCCAGGAAAAAGTCAATAATCTCAGACTCTTTGGTGAGTAAGAAAAAAAGGTAAATTTCCTCCAGGGCCTTGATCTTCATGTCTTTGACCAGCCGGCCGAGCTTGGTGACAGGAATCTACTCTTTGTCCTCAGCCTTGCTGCTGTGAGCCCCGTGGCCCAGACCTGGCCTCTGCCACACTCTGGACCTCAAAGGCCACTACCAAAGCCTCTGCGGAACCAGCTACAGCTTCCCATGCCTGCCCCCCCCCGGGGGGCCTCCAGCCCCTCCTGCTGCACCAGCGTCATCTACCATTTGGTGTTTCTGAGAAAAAGAAGTGGCTAAGCCAACTTGTTAGGTACTTACTGGTTTTGTTAGTCATTGCACCTCCAGGAACCAATGAATTTTGAGCTTGGGAAGCTCTGAGCAAAGACAGATCAGGAGCTGTCATTTGGATCTGAAATGTCTCCAAAGGTCCATGTGTTGAAGGCTCGGTCCCACTGTGGTGCTCTTAGGAGGGGGTGGCACCTTCCGTGGTGGGGCCCCAGTGGGAGGAGGAAGTCAGGCCCCTGGAGCTGAGCTGAGCCTTTGACAGGGGATGCCAGGCTCTGGTCCCTTCCTTCTGTCTCTTTGCCTCCTCAGCCATGTGCTACACCAATAAGTCATGAGCCATAATCTCCAAAGCTATGAGCCGAGATAACCCTTTCCTCTTAAGTCAATTTCTCTCAGGTATTTGCTACAGTGATGGAAAACCACCTAATGTATCTAGTTATTAACAGGATTTCTGGAGATGGAGGCCTCTGGTGATCCAGGGAGAGGAGATGGTGAGGATGGAGCCAAGCAGAGAAGAAAGAGGGAAAGCATTCACTTAGAAGCAGAGCTGGGGACAAAAAATTCAAGCTGAGTGTGGTGGAACACACCTGTAACCCAGCACTCTGAAAGGCTGAGGCAGGAGGATGGTAAGATAAAGCCTAGCCTGGGCAGGA